TTTTTTTATGACTTTTAGAATGAAACGTCCCTTATAGAAATATCATACTAAGAATCATTGATAATTACTTATTTTCAGTATTAAAAATACTGGATAATAAGTAATTATCAATGATTCTTAATATGATATTTCTATAAGGGGTATAACGTTTCAACAGTTATTGAATTTAATAATACGTCAAGAAGAAATGCAAAAAGTAAGTAATAAATAATATACATTTTTCAAACAATATATTTTTCCACAATTATATTTCTTCAGAAGTATTGAATGTCACAAATAATTATCAATGATTCTTAATATGATATTTCTATAAGGGGTATAACGTTTCAACAGTTATTGAATTTAATAATACGTCAAGAAGAAATGCAAAAAGTAAGTAATAAATAATATACATTTTTCAAACAATATATTTTTCCACAATTATATTTCTTCAGAAGTATTGAATGTCACAAATAATTATTATGTTAATATCATTGTTAAATACTTGATATCATAACATGCATGTAGTAAATATTGATCGGTCCAATTCGATTTGAAATTATACATTTAACAATATTTTATGAATAGAACGCAATTTGTTTTAAATATAAAGAAATGTTATACTAATCGTATAGTATTCTATAGTTCACTATTTTAATCATCACTGATCACTACTTAACCTCTAAGTGCAAAATAAATTGGCGTATAAAACACGTTGCTTATTCAATGAAAGATAAACCATCGAATTGACGTTGTTTCGACATTGAAAAAGTCTCAACTACGCCGAATCGATGTCAAATCGATGGTTTATTTCTTGCTGGATACAGCTATTTATTTTATATTTGGCGCGCATTTGCTACGTACCAGAGACTTTGGAAAACTACCCTGCTCTCGAGCAAGGTACAGCGTGGTACAAACCAAAGTTATACCAAACGGTAAACCACGCCTCTACCACATAGTACCAAACACGCAAAAACGTTCTGGTGCAATTTGGTATACTTTGGTACATGTACCAAAGATCGCCAAAAATCGCCTTAACAGGCTAACTCGATAGTAGCGCCATCTGCAACTTTTTCGTCATTACGTGGACACAGTTTTGTATAGGCAGAATAGCAAAGTCGGATAGGGCTGGGTAATATATAATCACTAATAATTTTTTAGTATTTATTAGTATGATATTCCTGTAAGGGTGTTATCTGGGATTTTACTTTGTATATAATAAAACATATTAATAATATTACATATATATTGCATTGCAATGTTGCTGTACAGTTGCGTTGTTATATTGCCGCAAGCGGATATTTTACCGTTGCTGCAACGTTGCAGTAGCATTTTGCAACGTTGTTGCAATGTCACAATATTGTAAAACAATAATGCTGCAATGTTGCTACAACGTTACTGTGCTGTATGGGCTACAACGTTACTGTGCATTGGCTACGTAGTTTATGTGCACAGTTGGTCAGAGACGCTGTAGCCATTCTGCTAAAATTGGGATCACCTAAAACCGGTCCATGACGCCTCTTCTTCTTCTCTTTGGCCAAATTCTAGGGGTCGATTATATATTTCAAAACTGAGAAAATTACAAAAGTGAGCAAATTCATTAGGTATTGACCAATTAAGTTACAAATATTCTAGTAAATTTATTCACTTTTGTCATTTTCAATCTGTTTTCAGATACACAATCGACCCCCAGGGCTGCGTTCCAAAATTCTACTTGGTGGATAGAGTACATTTCATTGACCAATCGTAATAAAGAAATCCTAGTTAGCTTTATTCTTATTGATCAATTAAATGCTACTCTACCCGTTGTGTAGAATTTTTAAACGCAGCCCTGATGACTCTAGCAGTGTTGTGAACCGTTTTGGTTCACAAATCTACCGTCTACTGTTTTAGCTGGGTTATCTACCGTTTGTTTTTACTTTACTTATATATTTTATCGATTATTCGTGTATGAATTAAAAATTAAAAATTTTAATCTTGAAGAATACATTAAAGACTGACAACCACGATTACAAGTAAGAAAATTACATTTGAAACAGCATATTATTTTTGCTATTCTAATTTAGTACTGCCAGACGACCACCGTGAGCGATGTTATCGTGTTTCCTATTAGAGTCCCTAAAAACTCTACGTTCCCACTCCTCATTAGCTTTCGTATTACTTATTATTATTAGAATATTTTTTTTGTTAACCAGTTTTATGCAAAATTTGATATTCAGTAAAACTAAATAAAGATTACAGAAAAAACGAATACATTTTTTATTATAAGTATAATTTCTCTTTTATTTGCTATTGAGTTATTTTAGGTATTCGTATTATTTATAATTAGAATATTTTTTTATTAATTATCAGTTTTATATCTGTTATAATCGCAAATATTATTATCGTGGGAACGCTTCAGGAAGAACCGTTTCGACTGCGCTACAACGAGGAAGCGGATGTGCAACTACTGCGCTAAGCATCACCTTGCACATTCCGCATTTCGGACTTCGAGCCGAACCAATTAATTACCAAATATGGTAATCTCCTTGTCGCCAGGCACCCCCTCCGACAAGACTACACAATATTATAAAAGAGCTGAGAAGACCGCCCGCGACAGAATTAATACCTCGGTCTCTCGCCCGCGACGAACGTACTCGTCGCGTGTCATTACCATAAAATCGGGAGTTACAATAAGACACATTAGTCATAGTTATAATAAAGCCTTTTATATAAAAAGTGTGACTACATTCCTTCTAAACGAACTCACTTCTCACCGCCACGCACCTTGCCGCGCCCAGCAACAACAGGGCACGACATATCTTATATTTTACGAAACTTCTGAAATAGAAGATCTACCACTTTAAATTTCAAATCTACCGCTTTTTGGTATGCCATCTACCGCTTAATTTTTCAACCATCTGGTAACACTGGACTCTAGTTTCCATGTTTACCATTCCGGTTGTGACGATAAAACGATAGTGTCACAGCAGTGTCAAGACAGGTGCTCGGGTCGTTACAGTAGGAATGTAGCAGGAAAAGCGTACGACGCGATGGTCGAGTATGACATTGTATCGACCGACAGAATGTGTACGCGGCCGTATTTATGAGAACGAGCTACGAGCCACGAGACGGTAACGTATAATACAAAAAAAGTCAAACGAAAAATGATCGGTTGCAATCGGATTATGGTGTACACGGTGCTTCGACATTCTCAACCTGGTTTCAAAACGCGTGAATTTTCATATAATACGCAAACTCGTTCATCCATTGACCTGTCAAGTCCTCAGTTGCTTTCGTCGCTCGATATGATCGAACGATTATGTCGAGAACTTTAAGGTTAGGATATTCACTTGATTTTTACAGTCGCGTTGTGTGCCAAATATGTGTGTGAACGTTATGTTCGCTTCCCAAAACTTCTTATTGCTTGTGATTACTTCATAAATAATCAATCTGGGAGATAGAAAAAGAAGACAGTGAGATAACAGAACACAGAAGTCGCACACATTTTACGAGTGCAGTTGCTATGCTTAGGTAAACAATGGAGCAGTCGTGTCAGTCATAAGGCCTGTTCTTTGTAGCTGCACTACTGAATTAGTGCAATAAGTTAAAGTGAGAAAACGTATATTTGTCTCACTTCAATATATTGCACTAGTTCAGCAGTGCAACTACAAAGAACAGACCTATAGGATCTGTTTTTTATCGCTGAACTGGTTGCACTAGTTCTCTCACTTTTCTTCCATACTAAGTGGAGTTTTATCTGTATATCTGTATATATTGCCTCTTTTTTAGGTTTAAGTAAAGTGTACACTAGTTCAGCAATAGAAAACAGATCCATATTAATGATAATAAATATATTGAAGATAAATCGATCGCGAATTTCGCAGGCTCATCATGTTCAACTCTATTAATATACATGCATTATTTTGTTATATCATAGATAAACGTTACAGTCATCTACACCAGAAAGATGTCAGATGATGAGAGACAAATTAGAATGGCTGCTGAGGCCATACTAAGTGGCTCTATCAATTCCCAGAGGAGCTCAGTCACTCAGCATAGCATCACAAGAACACCAGATATCGTTCTCAGTGAGGATCTGATTGCAGGAGCAAGACACAACGGCAGGATGTCCCATGTTAGGCGTTCCTTTTGTCTCTTCGTCACCTTTGATCTTCTCCTTACGTTTCTCATGTGGCTCATTTGCACTATGGTATGCCAAACTGTTCACACTTGTCTGATATCTCTGGAAAATAATTTACAAAACTGTTAGGAATTCTGTTTTTCTACCCAATGTGATACTGATGATTAGTTCTTTTTTTTAAGAAGTTGTAAGACCAATGTTGTATTTTTAGTGATACATCAAAGAGACCAGTTATAAACTAATTATATATTTTCGTATGACACATTTATTTTATTATCTAAATAATAAATGTTAATTTAAGACAAAGTTGAGATAGATATATATTACAAATATAAAAAATATTGTTTTATCCTTCTTATTAATGCTTTATTTGTGCATCAATTGATTTAATACAGATGCACAGATAATTGAAACAGCTATATAAGTGCTTAAATTAAATATATGTATATATACTTTGAATGTTACTATAAATTATGATCTTTTCACTGTTATATTTTCTAAACAACACGGTCAATAATTTTGTAATTTGTGTACAGTATCAATACATTACTCTTTAATATCATATTAATTTTCCATTAAAACCTTAATTTTAGTTTAAATAAAATTAAAAATAGCAATCCCAAAGAATACATACATACACACACATATGTAAAAAGTGTTAATTTTTAGTTTCAACATATCTAATTTTTAAATAGTTATACTTTCTCTAAAACATAAGCACTTATGTAATATCTTATTTTATATGTGATGCAAGTTTCAAAATGAATTTTTACAAAATAATTTTGCCTTACAATCTCCTTAAGAGATCTTTTACTTTTGGATGCTAGAAAAAATAGGCTATATACAGAAATGGAAAACTCATTTTTCATAGAAAACTCTGTGACAATTGATTTCTGACTTGGCACATTTGTTATATAAGCATAAGGGATATTAAAAACACAATAATTATTCAGAAATGTACATAAAACTTTAAATATTTCCTCAAACTGTTTCCAACATCGATGTACAATATTTCTCAAAAATTATTGAGCTGATTGACTTTAAACTTTCCACATATCTTTAATATAAACATATATATTGCAATGTATTGATTGGTTGCTTGCCACATTGTTTATTTACCAATAAACAATTTCGAGTTTCTATTTTACTAAAAATAAAAATAAAAGAATAAAGAATATCAAAGATAAAATTGTTATTCATATTTTGAAGACTTTATATATATATATCGATTCGAGGAAAAGTTTCTGAGGGATAAATTTACTTCGAAACCAATTTCTTGTTTGAATTTCTCTTTGAGAAATATTGTATATTGAAAACATAGTTTGAGGAAAACATATTTGAAGTTTTATGTATATTTCCAAATAACACTATTGTGTTTTTAATATTCCCTTATGCTTATATAATAAATGTGTCAAGTTAGAAATCGATTAATGCAAAGTTTTCTTTGAAAAAATTTCTGTATATAGCCTATTTTTTCTAGCATTCGAACGTAAAAGATCTCTCAAGGAGGTTATAAGGCAAAATTATTTTGTTAAAAATTTATTTTGAAACGCACCATATTCCTGAAAATTCCTGGATGTAGCCTATTTCTTTGCTCGTCCAAAGATGAAAGGTTACTTAATTCGAGTAAATTATAGATTATTAAGAAGCTAATAATTGGTCTATTGTATTTACAGATCGCAGGCCAAAGTTTGAAAACAGCTTTTGTAGATCAGGTGGTTCATTATCATATAAAGACGTCCCTGTTTGACATCGTGGTACGTATATACTGCATGTCATTACCTTTAATAACAAAATGACGAAAATGACATTCAGTTCGTCATAATTTTTCATTATTCGTTGGGAGCAGAGATTTTACGGATGTCATCTTCTCAGATGGCAGCGATTTGCAGGTTCACAGTCTTGTTGCTCTTTTATGCGCTGCTGTATATCAATCACTGGATCATCATAGCTGTAAGTATGCGATTATATACGTTATTTATGGATTCTCCTGCAAGAAAAGAAAAAAGAAATTAATTGCAATAAATACGAGCGAGGAATGAAATAAAATAAAAAATAAAGTATCTTTATTTTTCGATTCCTTTGTTTAAAATATCGCTTCTAACAGCCGCGCGATACAAAAACTAATTTTGAGTTTCTGTTTAATAATAATAAAATAGTTATATATATATATATATATATATATATATATATATATATATATATAT